TGGGTGTTAAATTAACACTGTGGGTGTTAAATTAACACTGTGGGTGTTAAATTAACACTGGCATTTTTGTTGTGAAAAAAATACATTTTTATACAAGTTAGCAACTGCAGCTGAGACCTCCTCTCAGTACAGCCCAGACCCGTCACGCCGTTTAATTTTAATATTAATATATATCTAGAAACATTTTGGTGCACACATCCCTCCTGCAGGGATCAGCCGTTGCTCTTTTCCACGTCTTTCTCACTCCTCGTTCCTCATTTCCAGGTGTTGAGGAACCACTTGCTCCTTTTCCGCCTGCCTCAGCAGCAGCTACGGCTCGGCTTCGACACGTACGAGCAGCTGCCCCCCATCAGGGCCAAGCGCTTGGAGAGCATCTTTCGTCTGCAGGACCGCAGAGGCGACAAGGGAGACTAAAAGACAAGAAAAACATCACYAAGGCAGCAGAGCGAGACGCCAGCCCTGAGACACGTCTTAAAGGAGGTGGAAGGACTCAAAATGGTTTCAAATCCGAGCTGGACTTGGCCAGTTGTGCAGATAATTTAGATAACCTCAGAGTAATGAAGACCAGATGAGGCCCGGTTTGGTCCTGCAGCATTTGTTTTACTGTGGAGTTTTTGAACTCGGGACAGTCTGTGTAAATAAAACAAAACTGACWTGACAATGGCTACGTTCACACTGCAGGTCTTAATGCTCAGTTCCGATTTTTTGAAAAAATCTGATCTTTATGTGTGAACGTTCACATTACATTTTAAATGTGACCTGCATCAGACCCCTGTGTGAACGCTTCACAGCACTGATGTGACACGCATGCGCAGTAAAAGACGTGACGTCTCATCATCCGGCTTGTTTGTTTACAGAGCTAGCATGGATGTTACATTTTGAACATGGAATCGGAAGTTGTTGTTTAATCAGAGCCGATTAAATAATTATCTGACCTGCTTCTTTAGTCAGTGCTTATATCTGAACCTGCCTCTGACCGGGATGCTCCAGTGAAGCTTTTTTTTAAACGAAACTACAAGCTGGAAAAAAGTATCGACCGAGTATCGAACTTTAGGATCGATACTCTCCGCGACCCAGGCTGTACATCGTTATTATCAAACTATCTACGTGGAAAATGAAAAGTAAAAAGATGAAGCAACTGGACTTGTGTTTTGGAGCTGTAAACACATGGAGCTGCAGATTTAAACAGCGAGACTTGAGGTTAGTGTCTTATCGATCCTTCACCCCCTCCTCCTGATGAAAAAGTCAGATGAATGTGAAATGAGCGTTCACACTGCAGTCACTTTGAAAACATCAGATATGTATCCGATTTAAAACCACATACTGAAACGGCCTGGGTCGGATTAGAAAAAATCGGATTTGTCTCGTTCAGACTGTCATAAAAAAATCGGATATGAGTCAGATGGGTCAAAAAAAATCGGATTTGGGTCATATTTGCCTGCAGTGTGAACGTAGCCAATGACGTTGGTGGAATTTTGTTTTTTTGTTCTAAAACTCCTGATTTTCACTGCACGGAGCGACCACYTTGGGTTTGAAGCAACATAAAACCAGACTGTAAACATCGCTGTCTGCTGCCATCTGCTTATTGACTCGCTCACTGAAGACGTGAAATGCTTCATTACTTTTCCACTAAAACAATAACACCTGATGTTGAAAACACCCACAAGGCAACACTTTACGTTGCTTAAAATAAACATTCAGGTTTCATCGTGTTGATAAATGTTTAATTCAACTATCATGCCTTTTAAAGGTCAGTTTATGGTTTGAAAAGTCGCTCTACAGGCCACAAAATATCAAGTTTATCCAAATAATGCAGTAACCCTGTTGTATTTTGCTTTAGTAAATACTGTAGGTGTGACAGAAATCCAGATTTTCTCTGTTGAACCATAAAAGAAAACGTTTACTCACATGATGTTTCACCAGTATTTTTTAATGTTCTTCAAAGGAGTGCAGTCTGGATAAATATTTGCTGTCCACACATCCTGGTTAAAGCTTTATTTTAAAGGAAGCCGAATCTAAACACCTTCCAGAAACACCACCTTCTTCTTTGAGTCAAAATTCATTCAAAACAACTGAAACCAAGTGAAAACAACAGTTCTGTGGTCAGYCAGATCCAAATTTCTCATTTCTTTTTAGGAAGCCACAACTGCCATGTCCTCCATTCCAAGGGGGACAGTTAATGCCACATAGTTTAGTTATCTGCCTCTCTGATGTTATGGTGYTGCATTAGTGCGTGATGCATGGACAGGTTACACATCTGGAAAGGAACCATTAATGCAGAAAACTGTTGGACCGCCAAAAACACAGAACTGGGACAACATCCCCACATAGCAGACAGGTGTGGGCCAGATCTGGTAATGATGGCACTGTTTTTAAAATGACATGTCACAACTGGCCCGGTTGTGCTTTGATTTTTGTTACCAAAATCTTTCAGTGCCATAACTGGCCTAGTTGTGTTTTGATTTTTGTTACCAAAATCTTTCAG